TTAGGGTTTAGGGTTTAGGGTTTAGGGTTTTCAAGGGACTGAGGGTTCAGGGTTTAGGGCTTGCACCTTGGACCCCTAAGGTCGTACCCCTAAAGAATCCCTATAGTATACTCCTTAATATGGCCCTCAACCCTAAACCCTAAACCCTAAACCCTAAACCCTAAACCCTAAACCCTAAACCCTGTACTACCTTAAGCATCTTTAAAAAGGGTACCCAGAACCCAAGGGTACCACCTTAGGAGTCCAAGGTACAACCCTGGGAGGTTTAGGGTTTAGGGTTTAGGGTTCAGGGTTTAGGGTTTAGGGTTTAGGGTTTAGGGTTTAGGGTTTTGGGGTTAGACTGGGAGTCAATGGAACCTTAGGGCTGGGGGTGTTCAATCTAGGGATTCGGGTTGGGGTTTTGGGTGGGAGTCAAATGTCCTGCTTTGGGTTGTTTGCTGGTTTTCAATTTCAGGTGTTGCGTTGAGCGTCGCACGTCTAGCTTAGGGTTGTGGGTTGTCGGTTGAAGGTTTAGGGTTCAGAGTGGGAGGTGGTGGTGATGGTGGGTGCAGCGATACAGTAGTAAACCCTAAACCCTAAACCCTAAACCCTAATCCCTAAGCCCTAAACCCTAAACCCTAAACCCTAAGCCTGGAGAGTGCTAGTAGGACGACGATTGCCGCGTTGCTTGCGAGTTCTAGATCTTCTTGTCCATCTGTCGCACACAGACAGCCCATCGCCTGGGCTCAGGGTTTAGCGTTGGTTTAGGGCTTAGGGTGTAGGGTTAAGAAACTTAAGTTAACGCAATGGGGTTGTGTAGTAAAAGATGAATAGAGTAGTCTTTAATGGAATTTTCCTCATGATCTAGGACCCACAGTAGGCCCTTTTTCCTTTTGTTAGCGTTTAGGTTCCCTTATAAGCCCCTTGTTAACCCAAAAAGGGTGCCCTTTTCATTCCTAGGTTACTCCTGCGTCCAGTTGTAGATAGCACATCATATAATAGAGTGTCCCTTAGTAGCTGAATGACTCATTGAGTACACTTTACACTTTTTGGGCTACTAATATTCCCTTATGGCACTGAAAGTGAGCACTTCCCTAAACCCTGAACCTGGAACCCTAAGCCCTGAACCCTAAACCCTGAACCCTAAACCCTAAACCTCGTTTTGGTAGCTGGCTTCAAGTCCCCTCGCACGAGCCCGGTGGTCCCGTGGCCCAGGTCTCCCAGCAACAGCGAGAGCAGGCCGCTACCACGCAGGCCAAAGGGGAAGAGCAGATGTTGGGTTCAGGGTGTAGGGTTTAGGGCTTTGGGTTCAGGGTTTAGGGTTTAGGCTTTAGGGTTCTGGGTTCAGGGTTTTGGGCGTAGGGGTTTGGGCTTAGGGTTTAGGGTTCAGGGTTCAGAGCTCTACAGGAGTCACAACTCACAACGCGCTGTCTAGGTTCTTGTTGATACCATTTCTATACAATGCATTATCGGGTCTAGCTGTTGGAGCTGGCGGACTCAGGTCTTGGGCTCTGATGGCTAACGTGCACCCTGAAAGGAGACACAACCCCCTTAAGGTTTGGCTTTAGGCTTGAGGATTTAAGGTTTAGGGTTTAGGTTCCAAAGGGTTTAGGGTTTAGGGAGTTAGGACTTTGGGCTTGTTGTTTGGGAAGTTTGGGCAATGATTGTTGGAGGCGGCCCTCGAGCAAGAAAACCGGCAGTTGCGCCGGACTCTCGCCGACAAAGAGGCGCGACCTCAACTCTAAACCCTAAACACTAAACTACCATTTGCTTAAGAATCCCCCAACAACATAAAAGTAAACAATCCCCTTCTTACCCTGATAGGGAAGAATACTTTTCATTTTCCGAGGGCTCTTAAGCAATCAGTAGAAAAAAACGTAGTGGACACACCAGGCATGAGCATGGCATGGGCTCTAGACATGCAAACCTGAGTGGGTCATAGAGGGGCCTTAGTAACTAAAATAGGTTTTTTTGGGGCTTGTGATGGTGGAATTATAATTATAAAAGGACCATAAGGGACACAAAGCTTGCAGTTGCATGCTGCTCAGCTCCGCCGAGATATGTTTATCAACACGAGCTTATAGGGGTCAGAATAGTTACGGATCGTGTTGCCTGATGGTCCCTTTGTTATTGTATTTACACTATCAGAAGCCCCAAAACCCTATTTTAGTTATTAAGGCCCCTATATGACCAACTCAGGTTTGCTGAGGTTTGTGTCTTCTCCTCATTTCACCTCTAAGTCGTTGGCCATTGCATGCGAGCGTTGAGGCTCATGGCCGGGCGTTTAGGGTTTAGGGTTTCGAGTTTAGGGTCTAGGGTTTAAAGGTTTAGGGTTTAGGTTGCACCCTTGGGTTGTTCTCTTGGTGGCGTGGGGTCGAAGATGCCGCAGTAAGGCTTGAAGAGCTGAATGATGGTCCCTTTATAACTATACTGTAATTCCCCCAAAACCCTATTCTAAATTACTAAGGCCCCTATATTATGTCTCAATTGCGCGTGAGCTTTCGAATCCAGGATGAGCTGGTACTGGTCTCGAGCAAGCTGGAGCAAAAGCTGCTTGGCGCAAGCTTCCTTTGTGCTCAATGCAGTTTCCGTGATGATGCCACATAATGTCTACTGTCAAAGAAGTGACCAAAAGCATGCTGATTCTCAATGACCCCTGGGTCGGAGATCGTTTCGATATTTGCCATTCAACACACTTTTCGTGAATGACTTTTTCCAGTTGGAAATCGTGACCCTCCACTTCCTACACGAAGCTAAGCCACCTCCCCCTTACCGTAAGGATCCATATATAGTATATACTTGGGCCCTAAAGCTACGACACAGGAAACTCTTTGGCGCCCAAGTATATCCTATATAGGTACATGGATCCTTAGGGTTCTATGTTGGACCCACAGCAGCTTAAAAGGGCGTCGAGCCCAGGCAAAGCGCACCAGATGCCTCAGAAGGTCCCCGACTCATCTGCGCCAGGGCTTGTCGCCCTGGTTCTCAGGGTTTAGGGTTTAGGGAATGAGGGCCCTAGAAATACCCTTTAAGTGATTATATAGAGTCCTCATTCCCTCATTCCCTACTAAGAACCAGCCAGTTGTGTTGTGTAGGATGTGGAGAGGCCCCAGGCTCTGCCGACACTAAGGTAAGCCCTTGGGACGTCGTACGTTGCCCCTTAGTGGGTTTAGGGCTTAGGGTTTAGAGTTTAGGGTTTAGGGTGTGAGAACATTTTTTCAGAAGGGTTCTAAGGGGCATCTTAGAAACCATGGCAACCTACTCAGAGAGGATTCGGACCATAGGCATCAGTGGCCAGAAAGAGACTGTTAGTGGGAGAGGCCGAGTGAATCTATATCTCCCTTGGTTTTTTTTATTTTTGTTCATATAAAACCCAAGAGGATATTTAAAGATATTCTTGTTTAGTAAGGGGAGTATAGGAATGAGATGAAGCTCAAGAATGGGGGGTTGCTGTTAAGGAACTTAAAGTCTGTCACAATGCATAGCAGTTAAGATTGTTTCCTCAGTATGGTACCAGTATCTTTACTCAACCCCTAAACCCTAAACCCTAAACCCTAAACCCTAAACCCTAAACCCTAAGAGCAACCCAGGCACCAACCCGCGCTCTTACTTGAATGGGGAGGTACGAGAAGAAGGGACCCCTAGTATAGACCCTCAAATAGTAGGATCCCCTGATAATTATAAGGACCCAATATGGTGCCACTATTTTCGTATACCCTAAACCCTACACCCTAAAACCTAAACCGCCATATAGTAAGGACTGTAAGGTACCGCGAGTATCGTAACACCCCCAAATGTCTTTGACTTACCCCGTCCACTCTCAGTATCCGAGTAGGAGATTAGCACAACTCCAACCCTCTAAATCCTACATAACTCTACATAAGCCTGCACAAGTTTAGGGTTTAGGGTTTAGGGTTTCGGGGCCCTAAACCCTAAACCCTAAACCCTAAACCCTAAACCCTAAACCCTAAACCCTAAACCCTAAACCCTAAACCCTAAACCCTAAACCCTAAACCAGCAACATCAGTCCTAAACCACTCACTGAGGCGAGTTGGGGTTGCCGCCGGGTTCCCTGACAGTCGAGGCTCGGACCTCGAATCAGGGTTTCGGGTTCTCAGAACCGTAGCCCCCCAAACCCCAAACCCCAAACCCCAAACCCTAAACCCTAAACCCTAAACCCTTGCAACCCCTAAACCCTTACCTTAGAGCCAAAAAGAGTCAGAAGAGGAGTGCTGTCGCCAGTTTTGCGGGTGCCGCATAGCAAGCCTGAGCCTCCTTGAGCCCCAAAATCATGGGTTTGCCTACTACCCCCCTCTATACTATGTTTAGGGTTTAGGGTTTAGGGTTTAGGGTTTAGGGTTTAGGGTTTAGGGTTTAGGGTTTAGGGTTTAGGGTTTAGGGCTACTAGCCCCCCCCCCCCCCTTTTAATAACCTTAATTCGGCTGAAGTATCCCGAATTTCCTTAATTCTGCGGGAACCTAGGGGGGGGACGGTATAGAGGGGGGTCGCAGGAGAACCCATGACAAAAGCTTAAAACTTTGAGTCCTAAAACCCTAAGTCCCTTCAGAGTGGTAAGAACAACAAAAGGCTTTAGGTTTTTTTTGTTTAATTTCGGGTTTTAGGGTTGAGCGCTTTAGGGTTTCAGGGTTCTAGGGTTCTAGGGGTTTTAGGGTTTTAGGGCTTGAGGGTTTTAGGGTTGCTACTTGAGGAAGAGCAACATCATGTCAACGGCTCTCGCGCCAACAGCCGAAGACTCGAACGTCGAACGAAATCCAAGTCTGCGTCAAAGTTGAGCCCGGATCTCGGGTCCCCAAAATAGGACCCAACAAAAACGGGATCTGGGGTTAGGAGTTTCGGGTTGAGGGGTTAGGGTTTTTGGTTTAATTCGGGTTCAGACATTTTCAGACCCACCCCTTCTACTCCAATGGGCCACCCCCGTCCTGCTGAGCTAGGCCACAGAAGAAGGTCCTGGTGGCGATACCTGTCCCGAGCAAGCGGTGGTCCGGGACATTCGGAAGGCCATGGAGGACTTTTAAATTTGACGCTAGACCCTATACTCGAAACTCTGAAAGCCTGAAACCCCAAATCCTTCTACGGTAAGCTGCCCAATGGTACCTTGTTTCCTTTGTCTGAGGGGTAAGGATGGTGACTCAACAGCAGGAGGGTACGCTTTCGTCTACGGAGCGTACAAACACTAAGCTTTCATAAGCCCCAAAACCCAGCCTGAAAGTTTCCTTCAGATGTAGAGTCTTCAGGCCTTGGTCTCGAAAGAGTCAATTCAAATCGAAAGGTTCAGGGCAAGGGTTAGGTGGCTTGGTGGGGAGTGTAAAAAGGCAAAAACCCGGCAGCCAGGATCAACTCAAGATCTCGGATTTTTGGGGGGTTTAGGGGGTTTCAAGGGCTCGGGATTTAGGACCTACAGGCCAGCCCTAAACCCTAGCCCTAAACCCCAAACCCTAAACCCTAAATCCTAAGCCCTAAGCCCTACAGGCTCTTCCCACTGCGCCAGGCGCGTCTTGTCGGTGTGGAGCTTGACGCCCTGCCAACGGCGCGTTCCTGAGACTTCTGGGTCAAGGGACTACAGGGGGTTTAGGGTTTGGGGTTTAGGGTTTAGGGTTTCGGGCTCTAGGACCCGAGTATAGGGGTCGGAATAAGTACACATAGTATTCCCTTATGGTCCCTTCATAGTTATACTATAGAACCCCCCCCCCCCCCTAAAACCCTAAACCCTATTCTAATTTATGAAGGCCCCTATGTTACCCTTGAAAGGGGCCTTCGGGGTGATTTAGGGCTACTTAGGTATAGGGACGATATAAGGTATATAAAGGGGTTATATAGGGGAAAAAGGTTAGGGGTCCCTCCTTTTACCCCTGCTGGCTTAGGGCACCTGGGATCAGCCTTAGGGCCCTTAGGGATTCGGGAGTTAGGGTTGAGGGTTCGGGGTGCAGGGCTTGGGGCTTAGGGTTTAGGGCCCAGAGTTTATAAGGTTTAGGGTTAGGGTTTGGGGTATAGGGATTCAGGGTTGAGAGGTTAATTCGGGGGTCAGGGCTTCAGGGCTCAGGGTTCGGGGTTTCGGAGTTCAGGTTGTTGTGGATACTCGCAGGCCGGGTGTCTTCTTGAAGTTTAAAGGTTGACGTCCCGAAGAGCTTCCGGAGAAAAAAAAAAAAAAGCGCCCAGTTGCCAAGACATCCCAACCCTTAGCTCTGAACCATCAAACCCTGAAACCTAACCCTTATCCCTTAAAGCCTTTAAAGCCTGAGCCCTAAGGCCCTAAACCCTAAACCCTAAACCTCTGAAACCCTCAGTCCTAGAAAAAAGAGACTGTTCGGCTGTTGGGGACGAGCGTTTTGGGTTTGAGGGTGTGAGGGCTTTAGGGGCTTACGGATATTTGTGGGGGGGGGTCTCTGGAGCTTAGGCGCTTTTGCGGAATTCTAGATTAGTTTTTGTAGGCTCTTTGGAAAGGATTTTTTGAATAGATCCCCGGAGCTTTAAACCCCACTGCTTTTGGGGTTTATAAGTTTAGGGTTTAGGGTTTAGGGTTTAGGGTTTAGGGTTTAGGGCTACTGCCCCAACCGCAAAGCTTGGGAGGATCTCCGACGCGGCGTGGCCGAGATGCGCCGCTCCCTCACTGCGGCGGTGGATCGTCTGGCCAGGGCCCTTTTGAGTAGATGCCCATGGGTTCCCCGCCCCTCTATAGGGTTTAGGGTTTAGGGTTTAGGGTTTAGGGTTTAGGGTTTAGGGTTTAAATTAGGGTTTAGGGTTTAGGGCTACTACCCCCCGTGGGTTCCCCGCTTCATTTTGTGGGGGAAGCTAGGGGGGGGCTGTGGGGAAATCGGGGAGATACGAGGCAACTAACCCGTGTGGGGGTCCCGTGCTATAGGGGTCGGAATAATTACTTAGAGTATTCCCTTGTGGTCCGTATGTAATCAAATTCTACTATACTAACACCCACACCCCCCCCCCCCCCCCCCGCCTGTACTACAATTCCCACCCCCCCCCCCCAAAAAAAAAAAAAAACACGACACTATTCTGATTATTTAGGTCACTATACTACCTGCTGACGATGCAAATCTAGAGGCCGAAGACACTCTACACGAGCCCCTTTGAAGGCCCAAGTAGATGCTTGGGCAAGAGTTTAGGGTATGAGATTCGAAGCAGGGGTGTTGTTGGCTGTTACTGGGGAGTGTACATACGAATATGGGTTCCGCATACATCTTGGTGGGTGTACATACTTTATCCCTACTTCACGCAAGGGTTCAGCATAAGGCTTTGAGGTTTAGGGCTGAGGATGCGCAGCCTCTAAAACCCTAAATCCCAAACCCAAAACCCTTCCACCCTAAACCCTAAACCCTAAATCCTAAACCCAAGCTCGCAGCCCTGCCAAACTCACGGCTCAGGCCAAGGACCTCTACGAGTCCCAGGCGCACTTTGTACAGGACTGGACTCCAAACACCCCCAACCAAACCTTCAACCCTTTACCCTGAAGGCCCCTAGTCCTAAACCCTAAGCCCTCTACCCTAGGTCGCAGCCCAGATACCCACTGGTATACCCTAAGCCCTCAACCCTCCACCCACCACCCTGACCAGGAGCTTCTGCAGAACGCGCGGGGCCCAGCGCCGGGAGCCGTCGCCTCACCCCCTCATAAAGGGAGTCGCGGTTGAGGTTTGGGGTTTAGGGTTTAGGGTTTAGGGTTTAGGGTTTAGGGTTTAGGGTTTGGGGTTTAGGGTTTAGGGTTTAGGGTTCAGGGTTCAGGGTTGTATCGTCACTGGGTTACCAAGAGTCGCAGCCTGAACTCTCCATACTTGGGCTCTCAAGGTTACTTTATGGGAGCCCGTTTAAGGCCCTCAAGTATATACTATATAGGTACATGGACCCGGTTTTGTGGCCAGTTATAAGAGATTATAGTATAGCCTCCCCGAAAAAGGACCAGATCAGGAGTGTTTAGGCCGTGGACTCGGGGTGTGGTGGACTTGGGGCTTTAGGTATATTTGGGGTTTAGGGTTTAGGGTTTAGGGTTGAAGCAAGCAGAAGAGGTTAGGGGTTTAGGGTTCGCCCCGCAAGCTTCTGAGCCCCCAGACATGACCTGGGCGCTCTCTTCTGTAGGTGGCGGAGAATATATGGTCACTTCTCTCAATTTGTGGCTCCTTTTGCGGTTTCTAGTAGAGGGCGGCCCCTGATCTTTAGGGTACCCAACAAGGGACCAATATTTAGAGAGAAGTGACCATGCAGGTATTGCGCACGAACCCCTATACAACGTCTGCGTGCTCCTAGATGAAGTGGGGTTTATATTACTGTTCTTGGTGAGTGTACCTAAGGTTCCTTTTTAAAAGTGGTGAGTGTACATACTGGGTGTCCTTTTGGGGATACAAGAAACCCAAAGAAACCTAAGTACCTATATGAGGGTCACTTACCCACACCATAACAGTAATTCCTATTATAGAAACCCTACTTTCTACTATGCAGGTACTTAGGACCCTTTGGGAAATATGAACCCTACATCAGATGAACCTGAGGCTGACGATAACAGCTATGCGGAGGGTGTGCGTCCTCGGATTGACCTGGTCCTGAGGGGCAGGCGCTTATGGGGGGAGACCTGCGACGCTTTGGGCCTCACAGTCTAGGGTTTAGGGTTTAGGGTTTAGGGTTTAGGGTTTAGGGTTTAGGGTTTAGGGTCCATGACCATGGCCATGGCAATCTTGCACGTTTAGGGCTGAGGGCTGTGGACTCTTGAAAGACGGACCCTGAAACAGGTCGCCATGCCCAGAACTTACCCTAGCGGTAGAACCCTTATTCCCTTTTCGAGCTCCCTTGCAAACCCCACTACGCAAAACAAGAGGGAACCATGTACATTTTTCGGTTCCCAGGCAACTGTGTCCCCAAATTTCGGACTTGTGCCCATCCGCGAAGCAACTGTGCTGCAGGCCGCCAGAAGCTGCAGGGCAGCCATATTTCTTTGCAGCTACCCGGCTGAATCTTTCCAAGGAAATTGTCTAAGCCCTTGTGACGCGAGCGTGCGCGTCTGTCAGCTTCCCAAGTTTATCGAAACCCTAGTAGCCCAAACCCTAAACCCTAAACCCTAAACCCTAAACCCTAAACCCTAAACCCTAAACCCTAAACCCTAAACCCCCCTAAACCCTAAACCCTAAACCCTAAACCCTAAACCCTAAACCCTAAACCCTAAACCCTAAACCCTAAACCCTAAACCCTAAACCGGCCGCCCTAAACCCTAAACCCTAAACCCTCGCAGCCCATCCTGGTTCGTGGCAAGGCGAACAACGAGAAGGGGCTGACGGAGGAGCCTCGACCTGGAAGCACAGATTTCCTGTAGTGCAAGCAGTTCTGATGCTTCGTCCATTGCTGCCCTAAACCCTAAACCCTAAACCCTAAACCCTAAACCCTAAACCCTAAACCCTAAACCCTAAACCCTACACCCGCTCATGACTCGCCCCCGCAGGCGGATGTGCGCGCACTGTGCGACATCTCCCGGTCCTCGAAGTCTCAGGCATCGCGCTCACCCGCCCGATCAAGCTGAGACTAGAGTGACTAGAGACCATAAGCAGGGGTTTATGAAAATTGGACCCTAAACCCTAAACCCTAAACCGTGAATTGTAGGATCCCCTTGTAATAAGGACCCCAAGAAGGTACCCCATAATTTCGGAAACTCCCAAGTTGAAGTCCGAAACTGCAAGCAGACCTAGGGCTGACCTTTTGTCCTATAGGGTTTTGGGGTTTACGGTTTAGGGGTTTAGGGTTTAGGGTTTAGGGTTTAGGGTTTAGGGTTTAGGGATTTAAATCGGGGCGAGGTGGTTCATGATCTCTTGACTTTGGGCGAGACGTAAAGCTGAGAGGGTCACAAGTCCGAACCTCCCGGTAAAGCGCAGTGCCTCCAAACTTCCGATATCTCAGACTAAACCCCAAACTAACCCCAAACCCCAAACCCTAAACCCTAAACCCTAAACCCTAGAGTGCTTGCTAGCACTGCCGGAGGCGACTGGGACGACCACCGGCTACAAGGGAGTCGGCTGGAAATCCGTGTTTCGCGTCGCCGACGAGCCGCATGTGCTTCGGCTCATGGAGGGTTTATGCAGGGTTTGGGGGCTAGGGTTTAGGGTTTAGGGTTTGGGGTTTAGGGTTTAGGGTTTAGGGTTTAGGGTTTAGGGTTTAGGGTCTCCATTCCCAAGATGGTCGAACTGCATCATGGCTTTTGAGGCTTCATGGGGCTCATTCGAGTGGCATAGCCCCACCCTAAACTCGAAACCTCTCAAACCTGAAGCCCCGAACCTTCCAGGGCTTTCTGCTCATGAGGGTTGCGGGTTTGGGGTGAAGGCCTTTCAGCCTTTCTGAGCATACAATGTCACCCTAAAGCCCGAAAAGCCTGAACCCCCCCCTTGTTTTAAGACCCTAAATCCGGCCAGGTGCTGTCGCAAGGCTGGCGCTTCAAGTTCTCGTCGGCGGGGCTTGGAATGTCTTCCGGCACGCATTCGCATCGCTGTGGTTCAGGGCTTACCTTAATTAAACGCAAAACTTACTTTTTTGCAGGTTACCTGAGAACCCGATGAGGGGCTTTAATGTAATAACCTAGGGGCTTTAAAGAAATAACCTACAAAAAAAGTAGGTTTTGGGTTCTTGGGGTGGGGCTATAGTGTCCCGAAGGCTTTCTCGTTTGGGGTTTTGTGCTCTCCTTTCCTTGGACGTCTCTCTCTCTCTCTCTCTCTCTCTCTCTGTCTCTCTCTGGCTTCATTTCTGGGCTCAGGGTTTCCAGGCGAGCTTGCACTACTAAGGACCAGATGGCCCTATTACGCCCATTACTTACGAGGCCCTGCTATGACCATTACGAATAACTTGGCTTCCCGTCTCCCTCAACCCTCAGCCCTAAACCCTCAGCCCTGAAACTGGCAACCGCCCTCGCCGCCGAACTGAGGCTTACACCGCAGTGGTTGGAGGACTCTGGTCGTTTGTCTTTCTGACATCCTGAGCAGCGTGCCGTGCACGCAACCATTGCCCTAAACCCGGAACCCTAAGCTACAACACGAAGTCCTCAACCCTAAACCCTAAAGCCTGCGCACCACGCTAGCTCTCATCCTGGAACCTGACAATCGCAGGAAGGCAGATAGCTCGTAACTTGCCACTTGGTTCCCATAATCGCCTTCGTCGTCGTCGTCGTCACCATCTCCACCACCAGCACCGCCATAACCGCCACCGACACTGGAGAGGTAATCTCCCCACATCACCGAGAAGACCCTTCTTATCACACTCAGGGTAACCGAACATGCCGAACGTTTGTTCATTGGAAAAGTGCGCAGGGTGCTTACCTCAAGATCCGCGGGGGCAAGCAGAAGCCATCAGTTGCCATGTCCGAACGTCCTCCTGCTTAAAGAGCCTGGAAGCTGCGGATCGTGCCCCAAGGGTAACCTCCATAATAGTCTTAACGAAGTGAACATGTGCTATAGTTGTTGCGTTCTTTCCCGAACTTTGAGGGGTTTCAGAGTTTAGGAGTACGGCCAAATTCTCATCCCTACTATGCAGCAGCTTATCTTGGGGGCTGGGAGGTTAAATCTTTAAGCCCCCCTTATACTACCAGTCCTTAATAGGGATTATGGTACCCCTATTGTTCTCCTGAGCCCTAAACCCTGAACCCTAAACCCTCCATCCGGAGGACACGGAGGTTGACAAGCTGCCCAGCGAAGTTCGTGAGGCGCACAGCCGTGGCGACACGGTGCCGCGGCGGCCCTGAGCCCGTCCGTTTGCAGTCGAGGGGTTTTAGGGTTTAGGGTTTAGGGCTAGGGTTTAGGGTTTAATTTAGGGGCTATCTAATTCGGGGTGATGGAAGGTTTCTGGAGCATAGGGTGCTGATGATGCAGGCGTGCAGACCCAAATTCTGTGTGGCCTGAAGCGTCGGAGCGTTGCAGAGTGCAGTGTTTGGGATTTGGACTTTCGGAATCGCCTCCAGCTGGCTGAGGTGTTCTACCTGCCGCTCTCCGATCCCAGCAAGTCTGTACCCAGCATCCGCACGGAGATGCAGACCATCCAGGCCGATTGCGCTCAGCTGCTCTTCCTGCGCCGAGTCACCGAGATAAGTTTGAGGGGCGATTGGGCAGCGGACGAGTCCGAACAGGAGATGGCGACCTGGGCCAGGTTAATGGTTGCGGGCTCACCAGACCAGCGCGCGGCCACCACATGCCAGAGATACCAGCACACGGGCAGTGAGCCAGTTCTGGTGGAGGAGAACACCACGCGCTTCCAGATCAGCAGCCACGAGGACGTTGTGGTGGCACTTCCGAAACTGGAGGAGCCGCCACCTCAGCGGGTCTTCGCGTACCTTCCGGTGCGATCCGTTGCTCGGCGCACGAGACAGCACAGCTTGTTCTCTCCAGGAATCCCCTTGATTGCACGACAGGGCCCTATAAACCTTATGCCCTAACCAAGTGGCCGAAGCTCCCTCAAACACCCGACTCGCAGGGAAGGGTGGGGGGGGGGGGGGGGGGGGGTAGTGACATTGGGGCTCATGTGCCTACTCTCCAGGGTTTAGGGAGTTTAGGCTTTAGGGCTTAGGGTTTAGGGATGTCAGTTGTTTGAGAGATACATCCCCATCAACGACCCTAAACCCCAAACCCTAAACCCTAAACCCTAAACTTGATACGGTCTCTCAAAAAGCCCAGGTTGGCTTCCGCTTTGCCATCCAGGCACCCTTTCACCTCACGGCCAGCCGGGCCGACTTGCATCCTGGTGTGGCCCAGTGGTACCCTGTTTGTCCCTCTTTTTTTTTTCGGGGAGCCCTAAACCCTAGCCCTAAACCCTAAACCCTAAACCCTAAACCCTAAACCCTAAACCCTAAACCCCCAACAAAGGGTGCGCCCTCAATACAACAGGGTTCCTGGGCCTAGCAAGGCACCGCTCTCCGGAGAACCTCCGGCGCCGCAACGCCGTGGCGCCCGCCTTCATCAAGGCGTGCCGCGCGAACTCAGAGACGCTCAGCCTCGGTTTAGGGTTTAGGGTTTAGGGTTTAGGGTTTAGGGTTTAGGGTTTAGGGTTAGGGTGTAGGTTTAGGGTTTAGGGTTGAGGGTTAAGGGTTGAGGGTGTTTAGGGTTTTTTGGGGTTTTTAGGGTTGAGGGCGTTTAGGGTTTTTAGGGTTTTTAGTGTTTTTAGGGTTTTAGGGTTTTCAGGGTTTTCAGGGTTTTTAGGGTGTTAGGGTTTAGCTTGCTCGGGTTTACGGGTCTTGGGGTTTAGGGTTCTGGGGGCTCCACGAAGCGCTTGGAGGGGAGGATGGGTGGCCACCCCAAACAAAAAAGAACAATGAACATGAGAGCCGCGCTTTAGGGTATAGGGTGTAGGGTTTAGGGTTTGGGGTTTGGGGTTTGGGGTTTAGGGTTTAGGGTTTAGGATTCACTTTCAAATGTGAATTTCGGATCGGCTGGAAGACTTTTCGAAATTAGGAGGGGTTAAAGTTTGTTGGCCCCGCTTGCGCTTGAACCCTCTTGCTCTAGCCCTGAGACCCCTCTGAGCCTGCAGCCCTCAACCCTAAACCCTAAACCCTAAACCCCAAACCCTAAACCCTAAACACCCCTAAACCTCTAAACCCTAAACCCCTGAACCCTAAAATCCTAAGAGCCAAAGGCTGAGGCCAAGCGCTGCAGCCCTCAAAGCCCTCGAAGCCCTCGAAGCCCTAAACCCTAATTGAAACCCTAATTAAGAAAGGCTCAACTCAGGGGTTTAGGGTTTAGGGTTTAGGGTTTAGGGTTTAGGGTTTAGGGTTTAGGGTTGCCCAGGATGTACCGGCGAAGAGGTTCCTGTGTATATGATGTGGTTTAGTGCTGGAGGTGTTGTTGCAAAAGCCTTCTGCCAGCAAGCAGCGAATATGATGGTCTGCGCGCCACTTTGGGCCGGGTGGTATAGGGTTTAGGGTTTAGGGTTTAGGGAAAAGTTTGCTGATCGGATTTTGGTCGGGTTTCCTGCGCGTGTCTTGACGCGCTGTGTTGCTTAGATGGGTGCAGATAGGGCGCAGCAGTATTTCTCATGAGCGCGTGCGAATTCTTCTGTTTTGACCGCCAAGGGTTTTGGGTTGTTAGGGTTTGGGATTATTAGGGTTTAGGGCGTTTAGGGTTTAGGGCCCTCTGCCCAGGTTGGCTTCACAGGCTCTGGAGTTCCTGGGCACGGAGCCCGCGGACCACTTCTGGCGGCTGGACTCTTTGGGGTGTTTAGGGTTTAGGGTTTCGGGTTTGGGGTTTAGGGTTTTTAGATTGTGGGTTTAGGGTTTAGGGGTTTGGGGGTTTAGGGGTTGAGGGTTTAGAGTTTAGGGTTTGGGGGTTTGGGGGTTTGGGGGCTTGGGGGTTTGAGGTTTATACATTCTTTGTGCTTTTAGGGTCAAGGGCTTTGGGACTTGAGGGACAGGGTTTCGGGTTCTTAGGGTCAAGTTTGTGGGGATTTCCGGGTTGGGACTAAACCCTAAACCCTAAACCCCAAACCTTAAACCCTAAACCCTAAACCTTCCACTGAGGCTTCCCATCCGCCAGTCCATTGTGGAAGACCTTCAGAACTTGGCTGAGGGCCAAGTGTGTGCTGCAGGGTTGAGGGCTTAGGGTTAGGGTTTAGGGCTAGAGTTTAGGGTTTAGGGTTTAGGGCTTAGTTCGGTCTTAGGGCTTAGGGCCTTGGGTATTGAGGTTGTGGTTTTGGGATGGTCTGTAGTAGGAGTACCCTGAGCAATCCAACCCATAAGCACTAACAGCAACTGATGGGCGGTGGGCGGGGGGGTGGCGAGGGAGGTTGCTGCGCCGAGGATTGAAGGTCAAACATAAGAGGGCCTCAAGAAGTACCGGCTATGACTGCCCAGGTAGAGCCCAGTCAACCAAAACCCTGAACCCCTAATCCTGAGCAGCGGGTCAAACAGTTCTCTGAATCGGTGGTCCTTTCTTGAGTCCCGTTAGCATATGACCCCTTCTGGACATTTTGTGTACACCCTATAGGAAGGAGACCCTTATGGTTTACAAGTATCCCTAAACCCGAAACCTTAAACCCTAAACCCGTTTAGGGTTTAGGGTGTACTATCATTGGCTTGGACCAGAGCTGACCAGCGGAGTAGGCCTTGAGCCATTGAAACTTCAACATCCAACCCAAAGTGAGCAGGCAGCCTTTCAGCTATTGAGGAAGTGGCCTTCTAAACTCCTTTGAAAGGGGGCTTCGGGGCTCATAGGGGCTTATGGGGGTTTATAGGGGCTTGTAGAAAGCTTATAGGGGCTTATAGGAGGCTTATAGGCTTAGGGGTTTGAAAGGGGGCTTATAGGGAGCTTGTAGAGGCCTTTTTGGCTTTTTGGGGGCTTTTTGGGTCTCCCGTGGCCTGGAATTCTACGCTGCGGAGTGATCCAGTGCCATGGCCGGCGCCTCGTCCCATGGACAAAGCCGACACCTGGCTCTCCACTGTACCCCTAAACCCGAAACCCCAAACCCCAAACCCTAAACCCTACCTTACGAACCCAAAACCTACTTTCTTGCACGTTTTCCCTAGAAAACATCTCATAGTATTCTTAGGTAACCTTCGGGGTTTTTAGGTAAACCTTAAAACCCGAAACATTAACCCTAAACCCTAAGCCCTTAATTAACCCTTCAAACCCTAAACCCCTTAACCCTAGACCAGAAAACCAGAAGCAGAAGAAAGAGCTAACAATCCAATCAACCCTAGCTGGCTCTCGCTACATGAAAGACATGTGGGGCAACGAGACCTAAGCAGGACCATTCAAGAGGCTAGATCCGTCTGGCCTCAAAACCCCCAAGCCCAAAACTGCCTCTCAAAAAGGGGGGGGGGGGGTTTAGGGATTAGGGTTTAGGGTTTAGGGTTGAGTGTTTAGGATTTAGGGTTTAGGGGTAGGGTTAGGGGTTAGGGGTTAGGGGTTGGGGCTTAGGGTCTAGGGTTTAGAGGTTAGGGGCGGGTAATCCCTAGAGCCGAAACCATTGAACCCAAACCTAACCCACATCCTAAACCCAGCGAACCTCAAGCTCGAAGCCCTATACTTGACCCTGAAAACCGAAGACCCTGAGCCCAATTCCCCTCAACTCTAAACCCAAACCCACCCTAATCCCCTCAACCCCAAACCGACCTAGCCCCTAAACCCTAAACCCTAAACCCTAATCCCTAAACCCTAAACCCTAAATCCTAAACCCTAAACCCTAAACCCCCACACTCCCGAACTAAAGACCTGACCAGGATCGCATCCGTGGCTTGGTGCTGGGCTGCGCATTGGGCGATGCCGTTGGCTTAGCTGCGGAGCCTGGGCCTTGGGAAGGGTTTAGGGATTAGGGCTTCGATAGCCTTCTTAGGAATTATTTTTTGTATTTTATTTGTATGAAACCCAAGGGAATATTTAGAAAGTTTCATGTTTATTAAGGTTGTAAGGGCAGTATAGGCTTAGGTTTTGGGTTTCGGGTTTAGGCTTTAGGGCTCAGTGAGGGTTTGGGGACCCTTCTCCCTACCCCAAGCCGAAGCCCTTTTGTGAACCCAAAGTAAGCCTTGTATGTTGGTTTCCGAAATTAGGGGGTGCCTTATTGGCCCTTTTTTGCAAGGGAATCCTACTGTTTGGGGGTCTGACAGGTCTAGCCCGAAACCCACATGTGAACCCCCCCCCCCCCCCCTGAAAAGGTTGCCCTAAACCCTAAACCCTAAACCCTATAAACCCATAGACCCTAAGCCCCTAAACCCTAAAAAGGTTCATGACGGCAGAGGAAGCCAGAGGCACCTACGAGAAGCTTCTGTTGGACCGCCAGGCCACTCGGCACAACCCCCCCCCCCCCCCCCCGCGGCAAAAAGAAGACAATTCCGATAGTACACTTAAAGGGAAGATGTGTTTTTTTTTTTTTTTGGGGGGGGGGTTCTTATAATTCGTAGATGGTGCAAAGAGTAGGCTCCCCTTATCACAAGGGCCCCAATAAGGTACCCCTAGCTTCCGAGCACCCCCCCGCCCCTCCCCAAACTGTTAGCAACTTTGTTGGGGTTACCTAGCTTCATTCTGACAGATGCTATCAACATTGTGTACTCACCGATATTCATAAGCCCTAAACCCTCAGCCCTGAAACCTACAAACTCCAAAATTTCTTTTTCTGTTAAGCCCAAACCCCAAACACTTGAGCCAGTGATGAAAGTCCTGCAACCCTAAACCCTAAACCCTAAACCCTAAAACCTAAACCCTACTTGGCGATTCCAGATTTGCAAACAAAGAAACTAAAGGCACAGGGCCAGCTCCCGGTGCTGCGACCGGGAGACTCTGTGCAAGATGGCCATCGAAGCAAGTGGGCCGCTGGCGACTCCTGGCACATCCAGGGTTTAGGGTTTCGGGTTTAGGATTTAGGGATAGGGTTTAGGGTTTTTAGGGTTTTTTAGGGTTTTTAGGGTTTATAGGGTTTATAGGGTTTAGGGTGTATAGGGTCTAGGGTTTAGGGTTTCGGGTTTAGGGTTTAGGGTTTATAGGGTTGAGGGTTTAGGGTTTATAGACTTGAGGGTTTAGGGTTTAGGGAGCACAGTTCAGGTAGCATGGGGTTGAGGTTTCAGGGGTTCTACAGGGGCTGGGGAGTGGGGGCGAGGGGGTGGGAGGGGGGGGGGGGGGGGGGGGGGTGGTGATCATTGTTGTAGATCGTGCTCTTTGAAGGTATTCGTGGGCAGCGCAATCCGCAAGATGCATTTGCTTGGTGAGCCTTTGCCCCGACAAAAGCCTGTTTCCTCAGGCTCAAAGTCACGTCTGAAAATATTCGGCCTGCAAAAGTTCGCCCCATCCCTGCATTCGGTAGTCTAGTGCGAAACACTGGGTTTTGGAGTACGATACTTTAGTACTTTTTTTGGTTCTGGGTTCCTGTTGTAGCTGCTTATACCTAGAAAGTATATACTTTTTTTGGCAGGATCTACTCCAAAGCAGGGTTAAAGTCTCAGATCTGCAGGACTGGACAGATGATACTGACCAGCTGGTCTTGGTTCTCAGGCCTGGACACTTGAAGACCCATTGTTGCCCTTTACCCTTTTTGGGGGGGCTCTGGGTTCCCTTCTGAAGTACCCAACCCAAAAAAGGGTTTAGGGTTTAGGGATGTTTAGGGTTTAGGGTTTAGGGTTTAGGGATTAGGGTTTAGGATTACAAGATGGTCACTGGGCTACCAAGGACAAGCACCCACCCTCGGCGAATCCTAACCCGGTCCTTCCTCGCCCCAGGCATTGACGAGGAGCAGGAGCTCAACCCCTTATCACCCTAAACCCTAAACCCTAAACCCTAAACCCTAAACCCTAAACCCTAAACCCTAAACCCTAAACCCTAAACCCTAAACCCTAAACCCTAAACCCTAAACCCTAAACCCTAAACCCTAAACCCAAGCATAACAAAAGGCCCTGAAGGCCTGGAAAGCCTTACGAAGCCCTGGACCCGACCCACCTGTTCTTTGCAGGGCTCCAACCCTCCAAGTGTACAGAGTATCGCCCTAAGCCCTAAACCCTATAAACCCTAAACCCTAAACCCCTAAAACCCTAAAACCCTAAAACCCTAAAACCCCTAAAAACCCTAAAAACCCTAAAAACCCTAAAAACCCTAAACCCGGGAAGCAGGGTAGCTGGTGAGTTGGGGATCCCAGGCAACTCTGTGCCCTAAGCCCCACCAACCTCCCCAAGCTTCGCAAGCCGTACACCCTCATTTTTTCTTTTCTTAGCATGGTCCTCGTTGTTCTTTAAAGTTTAAAGGGTGTAAACAAGGGGTACATAGCACCCCATGAAGGCCCGATACTAAGGGCCCCGGTGAGTACCCTAAGGTTTTTTCCCGCTCCAGGTGCCTCCTGCCCGCATCCGCGGGCGCGGCGCTGCGCCCGCCGGATCCCAGGGAGTTTGCGCAGCGGCTGATGAGCTGGCACCGGGCTTGGCATGTAGAAAGCTTGCTAGCTTAGGCCACCCATACTATTGGGTTTAAGAGTACCCTGAGTTGGGAATATCGCTCAGAGGGGTTCAAGGGCCAACCTGGCTTAGCTTTTGCTTCTCTTTGAGGGCTAAAGCTTGTCATGATTTGGGCTTTGGTGCACCAGGCGCGGGGTTTAGGATGTAGTGTCGTCGCAGCTGAAGGCCTCGTGCTGAGGTGAGCAATCCGCAGCACAATCCACTGCATCCCAGATTCATAAATCCCCCATGCTGTAGGAACCGTCAAAAATGGGCACCCTGTGGAATCCACCTTGAACTGCAACCCCCATGGCCGAGCTCTCCGATCGAACCCTAAACCCGGAACCCCTCAATTCCTCAATACCCTAAACCCGGCCCTAGATGCCCCAAACTCCTAAATCCCCTGAATAACCCGGCGCGAGTACCCTAAACCCCTTCAACCCAACTACGTATCTCACAAATAGTCAGGCTTTCAAGAAGATACTGACCTTGAGCCTCAGTCCCCTCTCTGCAGATGCGTGTATGCATACACACTGCTTATCACGTATATGTATATAACAGAATACATAAAGGTATGTTATGTACAGAGAGATATGTGGACGGATAGGCTGCCACTGGGCATGCGAGTGGGCACGTTTGAGAGCCCAAGCACATCTGAGGCACAAAGTTGGCTTCCCAGTGCCTGGGACTCTACATTCAGCCATTCAGCAACCCTCTGAAAGTTGAGGGGTCTCCACTCAGCAGACCTGCCCAGGCCTAAGCCCAGGCCTAGACCCAACACCACCCGGCCCCCACCCCCCCCACCCCGTCAGCCCAAGCCCGAGCCACCGAAGAGCCATCACCAAGGAACTTGGCGACACCGGCGGGTGCGGCATGGGAAGGTTCCTCGACCCAAAAGCCCGCAACTCAAATTCCTCAACGTTCCCGAAGCATCCCGTAGCCTAAAACCCCAAAACTATGCCAAGCCCTACATGCGAGACTGTCCTAAACCAAAATCACCCTTCAACCCTATAACCCTAGAGCGCTAAGACCCTGTATAGCCTTCAATCCTGGACCCCCAAGTTCTGAACGACCACATCGACCCTTCCCTGGCATTCGTGGAATACCGGGAACTCCGTTGAACCCGTAGACGGGAGAATACCCTAAACCCGAAACTCTGCATAACCCTGCCCCTCATCCCTGAACGCGATGATGCTAAACCCTCAGCCCCTATAGCCTTCAACAAAGAACCGCCAACCCAAAGACTTTCAACTGCTTCCAGAAACCTAAGCCCTTGTAAAACCTTGTTATACCCATACCCTCTGCGCCAAACCCCAGCCCCACATTCCCCTCCCAAAAGGAGCACGGCGCGCGTGCTCGATGAACCCTTCTTCCTGGAGCGCCCCGCCGACGCGGCTCGGTTCCTTGTCTGTTTGGGCGGATGGGTTCGGGGTTCATAGCCTTCATGGGTTAATCGGATGTAGGGTCTTTGGGTTTGGGGTTTAGGGTTTAGGCTCTGGGGTTTAGGGTGAGGGCCTGTGGGTTTATAGGGTTGTTGGGGCTTAGTTAGGGGCGCAGAGGGGTCGCTGGGCTTGAATGTTGGTTTTACCATGGCTCTTTACTTTTATTTCCAATAAATGATGTTGACATATGTTCACTCAACCCCTACCCTGAACCCTAAACACCCAAAAAGGACTCTGACCGATACCTTTGCCAACGGTATCGCATTCGCAAGGGTTGGTTCGCACGAATGAGCAAACCCCAAACTCCTGCTGGTGGCCCTGCAAAGGCCTGTTTTGGTTGGCATAGTTGTGTTCAGCAGCTTATGTATGGGCCAGAATAGCCGATATGCGATCTATAGTAGTGGTGGTAGTAATATTGGCTTCCGTGATCTTCCGTGGCATAAGCGCTAGAATTGGCTCCTCTAGCTGAAGAACACGGGTGGACCTAAAACCCGAAATTCCAAAGCAGTGAGCCCATAAGCTCTAAACCCTCCAAAAGAATTAAGCCCTTGAAGCTCGCTGCACAGGCGGGCTTGGGACCTTCTGGGGCGCTGCGTTGCGCCGCACCTTGGGGCGAGAGATAGTGAGTTCAGAGCCTTAGGGTGTACAGAGTTGGCTAGCACATCTGCAACTTCCTGGTGCCAAAGGACGGAGTGGATAAGGGAACAGGGAAGATTGTGAATTGCAGAAGGGATTGTTATGGGTCTTTCTCCTCCTGTTGACGTTGCCGGGGGAGGGGGCTCCAAACCCCCAACCTCAAGGGCCAACCTCAAACCCCAAACCTCAATCCTGAGTGATCAGTTTCATGTCTCGTCGGGCACCGCTGAACCCGAAACCTTGGGATGTTCCCCGTTATACTAACCGTCCTTAGTAGGGATTAGACTAGGGGGTACTATTATCCCTATTCAAGGACTGTTAGTATAAGGGGCATCATCCCAACCCCAAACCCTACACCCTAAACCCTAAACCCTAAACCCGAAACCCTAACCCCTACACCTTACACCCTAAACCCTAAACCCTAAACCCTAAACCCTAAACCCTAAACACCTGTCAGGAACGGGGCGTTGATGAGGGCGGCAGCTTCCGGTCTGCGCGGCAGCTTGGCACGAGGAAGAGCATCTGGCGATTCTACTGTCTGGTTCTTAGTAGGTAATGGGGTTTAGGGTTCAGGGTTTAGGGTTTAAGGGTTAAGGGTTTAGGGTTTAGGGTTTAGGGTTTAGGGTTTAGGGTTTAGGGTTTAGGGTTTAGGGTTTAGGGTTTAGGGTTTAGGGTTTAGGGTTTAGGGTTTAGGGTTTAGGGTTTAGGGGTACCCTGTAGAATCCCTTAAAGGGTATTTATATATATATATATATATAGGGCCCTAAGTCCCTTATTCCCCACTAAGACCAGGGGGTCGAGGGCTTATATAGGGGTTTGAGCCTTTAGGGTTTAAGGTTTTAAGGTCCGGGCGTAGGGGATTTCAGGGCTTATGGGGGTTTTAGCCTTTAGGGTTTGTGGTTTTGGGTTTCAGGGTGTACGGTTTGTGGATGAGTACATAAAAGGTGGGGTTATAAGAGCTCTAAACAGGTTTTCTTCACCATAGTTACCCTACGAAGTGCCCATGAACCTCCAGAACCCTAAACACTAAACCCCTAAACCCCCTAAACCCTAAACCCCTAAACCCTACACCGTAAACCCTAAGCCTGCTTATAACCTCGATGGACCTCCAAGCGAGCGCGCCTCGAGGCCCTGCCCATGCTGCGGAGGATGCCAAGGTCTTCGCGGAGGTGACGCACGCGGACCCCAGGCGATGCCCCTTATATCTAGCTCAGTGTTAGGGATCCTTTTTGCTTTTTGGGTTATGGGCTTTCTTACATGTAGACAAAAAGATCCTTTTTTCTTCCTAGGGGAACAGGGATTAAGATATGAAGTAGGGGTTATATTACTGTTTTTGGTGAGTTTATATAAGGTTCCCTTTTCGTATTGGTGGGAGTACATATTGGGTGTCCTTTTAGGGGTACAAGAAATACATACCGTACTCCATATGCCCAAAACAACCCACAGGCACATACTTCGGAACTCATCAAGGAAGGTACGGGACCATATTAAGGGCCCATATAACCTTTAGAGAGGTTTTTTGCTGAATGTGGGGGCCTGTAGGGTCTAAGAGGGGTTTGGGGCTTAGGGTTCATACGGGTTTTTTGCCTCAAGGGCAGAATTAAGAAGTTTGCGGGGGTCGCGCTGGGGCTTCAGGCCCTATTGCCTTTAAAGATGACATGGTTTTGCTTCGACGCGCGCAGTCCCATTGTGCTCTTGAGAGTTTGATCCATGAGTGCTTTGTGGCCACCAAATCTTTTGCTTCTGCTCCTCAAGGCTCCACGTATCTGTAGTACACACTTGTATACTTGGGCCTGAGAGCTACTAACCATAGCAGGAACCCCGTTAAGGCCCCAAACATGGATGTGACTATAGGCACATGAATTTTCGGGAGTTTGGGTAGGAATCAGCAGTGGGCTGCTAGCTATCCTTACTCATCTTCCCACACCTCCATGCTCTGACCATGTTTCATGGGTTTCCCTACTACCCCCTCTGTACGACCCCCCCTCCCTAGGTTCTCCCCTTACTAATTAGCCTCAATTATGGAGGGAACCTAGGGGGGGGTATCATAGAGGGTTTAGTAGTAGGGGAACCCATGAATGTTCTTGCGGCAGGTCCACTGCGGCATGTGTTGCCATTGCCGTGCTCATCGCCTCCATGATCCAGAGAGAAGATGGACAGATCACTGCGGGAGGCACGTCATGAGCATATTTCTGCACACTGGCTATCCCAGAGGGTCCATTTGTATTACTCTTATGGAATTAAATTAGGTACCCAAAACCCATACTGAATAGGGTTTTGGGGTACCTAATTCCATAACAGTACTACAAATGGACCCTCTGGCTATAGAAGAGCATCATTCCTGAGTATGACCCTTATAAGCTGCTGTGCTGTAACTTGAAGAAACTGAAAGTGGATCACAGTATCAGGGCACTTGGATGTTTGCTGGACAGCCCAATTACGGCAACTACTTTACCAGGGTTTAGGGTTTAGCGTTTAGGGTTTAGGGTTTAGGGTTAGAATTCGCAAGAACTCAGTTAAACCCGAAAGCCAAGCACCAGGTCTGGAGCTTTTGCTGTCACAGGCTTGCGTCTCGGCCTTCAGCCATTGCAGCCTTCTTCCCCTTGGGGAGACATCTCGCCCCAACCTCTAAACGCCAAGGCATTCAACCCTAAGGATCCATGTGCCTATATAGTACACATATATATACATATGCATATACTTGGGCCGTCAAGCTACTATATAGGACCCCCTTTCCTTTGTCATAGTTGGGTAACATTTACATTTTTAAGGGTACTTAAACCCAATCAGGAATAAACATTCAACTTTTTTGATATTATCGTAACCATGGACTGGTTTCAGGCCCAAGTATATACTATATAGGTACGTGGATCCTTATAGGGAAGGCGATGAGAAGCCCTTTCCGTCTGGCTTGGGCACAGCGACCAAGGTAGCGCCGCGGAGAGATACCTGCCTCATGAGTCTGCCTTAGGCCCGGGTTTTTTGGGGGTTTAGGGTTTAGGGTTTAGGGTTTAGGGTTTAGGGTTTAGGGTTTAGGGCCTTAGAGTTCAAATTGCTCTGTTCGATGAGTACGCTTTCTGGCAGGCGTATGGGAGTTTCCAAAATGTTAGCAGGGTGCCCTTTATACTGACCCCCTCCCCGTTGAAAAGCAATGCTACCGAAGAACTCGCTGAGAAACCCTAGCACTTGGCTTTTCATGGTGAAAGTACTCCTTCTGCTGGGCTCAGGGCTTGAAAAAGTGTATGGTACCCCTAAACCCTAAACCCTAAACCCGAAACCCTAAACCCTAAACCCTAAATCCTATACAAAAACCCTGAAGGAGAGCAGAGTAGAGGGTCACAGTGAGCCTCAAAGCTGCGGAACTCCCAGACCTCCTCGTTCGGGGTTATAGGGGTGGCCCAAAGGGAGTCCTTTTGTTGAATTTAGGGTTTAGGGTTTAGGGTTTAGGGTTTAGGGTCTAGGGTCTAGGGTCTAGGGTTTAGGGTTTAGGGTTTAGGGTTTAGGGTTTAGGGTTTAGGGTGCAACCAGCCAAGAAACCTAAAGCAAGGACTGATACGGTTGACTTCTTGCGATAACACGGAAGTTTGAGAGGTTTCCGGCTTCAGTTGCTTTGGGACCAAGAGCAGTGACTAGCTTTTCAAGACATCAAGACGGTTAAAATGTCACTGCATTAGAGTTTCAAGAGTTTTCACATTGCAGCTATTTTTTACAGTTCCAAGTTTCACATCGAAGACAGTTTCACCCCAAAGATTGCACAGAACCCATGGCGAGCAAGCAGGAGATCCGAGAGGAGATCCTTATCCTAAAGGATACCCAGGCCAGCGAGGACGCGAAGGCGTCGGCCGCGTGTGCTTTGGGAAATTGGGCAACTCGCGAAGCCTCGAACCCGTTGGCGGTGGAGGCCGAAGGCGGGCTGCCACTTCTGGTGCAGCTTTTGCAGGAAGGAGGCGGTGAGGCGCAGCGGAATGCGGCCTATGCGTTGTGGGCCTTAGCAAAGAAAGGCAATGAGTTGGCACGAAAAGGCAACGAGCAGGTGACCCGGGCACTTGTGGCCTGCGGCGGCCAGGAAGCGCTCGAGGCGTTGGCCAGAGATCCCACATATCATTGGGACGAGAAGCGTGGGACTGGGCCACTGGAGTACGCTGAGATGGCTCTGGAGGATTTGCCAGAGCTAAGCCATGGGCTGGGCCGCAGGCACTTCCAGCGCCAGGTGATGGATCTGGAGTGTGGCCTCGACGAGTGTCAAGCTGCCGAGCAGCTGGGAACTTGGGCTGCGAGATCAGATGAGAACCGCGTTTCCATCAGCCGAGTTCACGGAGGTGAAGCACTCTTGGCCTTAGTGGTCAATGGCAGTGATGATGCCAAATGGCACGCTGCCAGGGCCCTCCGAAATCTGGCCAACAATCAGGAGGCCAAAGAAAACATCTTGAAAGCTGATGGCATCGCGGTGCTGACCCGCCTTGCTGAGCATGGGAAGCGGAAAGTTAAGAAGGCAGCCAGGGAAGCTCTCCACGTGCTTTCGATGGTCGATGCCCAGCGCAACCCAGCTGCAGTGGCTGATGCCAAACCACCCGAAAAAGAAGCATCTCCGACTGCAATCCCAACTGGTGAAGGAACACGAGTCGCTATGTTTTCTGCAAGGTTTGATGGAGGACCCGTGGAAATGACACTTAGACTCACTAGACCCATGTGTGGCATCTTTTCTTTTTTTTCAACGGTGTGCTGCCTAGTTTTTGAAACAACAGTGGCATTGCAAAGCCCACTAAACGTCCTGAGGAAGTTCCGTCAAGTCTTCAGCATACTCCGGGATCACAAGTACGACGTACTGATGGTCGCGGCTGATGCTGGAGATAGTTTTGGTGATTTGACCACAGAGTACCTTAGGGAGACTTAGAAATCATTTTTAATTTTGGGGCATTAGAATTCCTAAGAAACAGCATACCATATTTTTTGCTAGGGTTCCAAGCTCAGTATAGGTATCTTCACCGACTCCGGAGCGAACAAGGCACCATGCTGGCAGTTTGCACCAAGCATTATGGCGAAAAGACTGCGTCTTCATATTCCTCACATAAGGAGCTCAAGTTTGCACTGGATTATGAGAACGATGTGACAGTATTGCCATTGAAGGTGGAGGACACCTACCCGCCAGCGCCACCATGTGGACCCGAGCACGAGTTTGACAAAACGAAGAGGGCCCAAGGCTACATTGACATGGTCTTTGGGCCAAGTGTTGTGTATCTGGACTGCCGCAACAAATCAGAGACGGACATCGCTGCTGGAATTGCTAAGCACTTGCAAAAACACAGGGTCACTGCGGAGCGTCCTGATTGAAGGCGGGAGCAAAAAGAGTAAACCCTTCACGGTTATTCGGGACCACGGGGAAGAAGCAGTCCTTACCTAAACCCTAAACCCTATACCCCAAACCCTAAACCCTAAACCCTAAACCCTAAACCCTAAACCCTAAACCATCCAGTCCATATTGCTGCAAATCAAGGGTGCCTTCATTCTGGGGGCCCCCAACCTGCCTGAACTCGCAAGAATTCGGATGTTCCCCCTTCTACTAAGGCAGTCCTTAGTAGGGATTGTAATAGGGGGAGGGGGGGGGGGACGATAATCCCCATTGAGGACTGTTAGTGTAAGGGGAGCATCCCAACCCAAGAACCTTGAAACCTAAACCCTACACCGGTCCAGGCCCCTTACCGCCAGCGCTTTGGTCTTGCAACTTTTGCACGTTGGAGCGTCTTGGCTTTCACTAAATTTTGGTCTTGGTAGTCCAGTGGTGCCTTTGTTTTTGGTTTCTCCTTTCTGTTGGTTCAAGGTCCTTTTTTCAAAGTAACCAAGCCAAAGAAGGGTACCCTTATTGTAGCATGGCAACGTGCTACCAAGAAAAGCTTCATGGTGTACACGTGGGCCGTCAAGGGGGAGCATCTTTAAGGTATGTAAAGCCCAAGCATATACTACCTAGGACCCGGAGGAGGCCCTTAGTTCCTTTTTTTTGGGGCTTGGGGTTCCCTGATAATCCCCTTGAAACCAAAAGCGTACCATTTTTATTCCCAGGTTACTCCTGGGTAGGTACCCCTAAACCCTAAACCCTAAACCCTAAACCCTAAACCCTAAACCCTAAACCCTAAACCTGTAGGGCAAGGGTAGTTGGGAAGCCCTGGCAGGGTATGGCTTCGTTTGAAAAAATGTTGGGGGATCGGTGGGGTCACAGGCTTTTGCCCTTTCTCGGTTTGGGGTTCAGGCTTCAGGGTTCAGGGTTCAGGGTTCAGGGTTCAGGGTTTAGGGTTTAGGGTTTAGGGTTTAGGGTGGACAGCTGGAATCAGAAGTGCTTGCTGTAACATTTTTTCGGTATGTTCATCACCCTTTAGCGCCCCCCCCCCCCCCCACCCCCCCCCCCCCCCCCTCGAAGCACGACGACCACTAGAAGCCATAAGCCCCTCGGCCTTATGATGGCCACCGGCCCCCGAACCCAACCGTGATTCCTCCGCTGCTCCCAGGAACGCGCCCGACGCTACCTCGTGCGATGCCTGCGGTGCTGAACGACCGGAAGAGGGCCAAGGCACCAAGACGTCGGGTCATGCCCTACTTGGAGGTTCAGGGTACTTATAACCCAAGTAAAAGTGTAGATATATCCCACTTGTTAGTTGGTTACTAAGCACCATGAACCGCCAAGTAGACCCTAACACCCGAAGCCCTAAATCCACCAGATGCCAGGGGTTTAGGGTTGAACTTTGGAGTACCCTGAGCTTCCCACCCGCGTGCCTCGGAAGCATGAACCCCTAAACCTCATGAACCCTGAATACCCCATGGATGCGAACCGAATACTACCATTTGCTTAAGGACCCCTCATCCCACAAAAAAAAGAAAAAACACATATCGGTAAATATATAGGGGTTATCTCTTTTTTGGGGGGTGTTCTTAAGCAAATGGTAGTTTCAGGGCTCCCTGAGATCAGGAACTGTGCATGCAGGGTTCGGCGTGGCCTGGACGGAGGAGGATGTGTCTCGACGCTGAGGGGAGGAGTTCGGGGTCGCTTGCACACTCAAGGCGCAAGTGTTGAACGGCTTTTCTATTGTTGGGCCAAGATTGGGTTTAGGGTTTACGCAGGGTCTGGGGTTTGGGGCGTTGGGCTCAGGTTGCCGCCTTTGAAACCCCATTCGGCAAGACATGTCCGTGGTTGCCACTTGGGATGTGGCAGCTGAAGGAGGGGAGAGATTCCTCTCGCTTCTTCGGCCCCCGAGTTCTCAACAGGGGCCTCTTGTTATGACCTTGTTTAGTGGAGCTCATACAGGAGCACGGGGGATCTAGATGACACTCCTCCTCTTTCTTTCTCCTCCTCCCTTAGGATGTTGTAACTCTCTAAACTCAAAACACTCCACCCTAAGCTTCGAACTTTGTAGTTGAGACCTTGCTACAACTTTGAGGAATGGTGGATTCGAAATATGGGCCCTTACTTTGGGCCCCCCTGTTTTTTTCATCCTATATACACTATATCAGGGACCATACTAAGGGCCCATGGCTCCAAACTTCGAATAAACGTGGATACAGTCGCCCCAACCAGAGTCCCAGCTCCTGAAACCCATTGCAGTAAACTCCAAAAAGTTGGAACATCCTCATCCCCATACCCCACAAGGTATACCATACCCCAAAAGGTATACGAAAGGGAATCCCAGCTCTAATCATCCTTAAACCATGCTCCAACTTTCTGGAGTTTACTGTACCCACCCAGACAAGCCCAGACAACCACTCAGTTAAAGGTAAGGGTTTAGGGTTCAGGGTTCAGTGTTAGACCGCAAATCATAAGAGGGAGCTGAATATAGATTAAGGCATGCTCCTTCACTGAGGCTTCCATGGCTCTCTGTGCAGAACCCTGAGGTTCAACTGTATTGGTTTAAACGGGTTTCTGATTCAGGCAATCCGTCTACTAGCCATTAAAGGGGAGCTACGACTTTGAGAGCTTGGGGGGGGTAATCCATGAGCCCTGTAAGGTTTAGGGTTCAGCGTGCAGGGTTTAATAGGGTTAGGGTTCAGGATTTCGGGTCTCGGGTGTAGTGAGGGTTTGGGATCCCTCCCCTCAACCGCACCAGGCCCGAAGCCGATCCTACGCGCAGCGCCCAGCCCTTGAGGAGCTGCAGTGACCCGTTAGAAGGCAGAGTGTAACCCTAAACCCTAAACCCTAAACCCTAAAGTTTAGGGGTATGGCTTCGGGTCTAGAGCTTAGGGCTATGCTAGGGACTTCTGGAGTTTAAGCCTTTCTTTGCGTAGTGGGACCATAATGATCAGGTCCATGTCGAGGTGTTTCCGAGAATTCGCATCTTGGATGCGAGGTTAAGGGGCCACAAGCTACGAAACCCTGAGGGGCCCTGAAACCCTGAGCTCCTGAATTCCTGAAACCCTGAAACCCTATCTCCACCACCAAGAAAATGGGGCTGAGATCGAGGGTGCTTGAACACCCAAAGCTGCATCTTCGCCGCACTTGTTTGGTTTGGGAGCAAGAAATCGTCCTAGATGCGCTTGAAGGGTTGGTAGATAGTAGGAGTGATATGGCAGGGACACTTTAAACGTACATGGAGTTTGCGTGTAGGCGCCACCTTCTTCGCCTGGTTTGCGCGACAGTTCCTTACCCAAACCTTAAACCTGGGTTTGGAGCACCACAAGTTAATACTTTTGTTTTTGACCTCTTCCTGCCCTAAAGGAACCATTATGAAATAACAGTTTATGCTTTGTTCTTGCTGGTTACTTCTGAGTCCAGTAAATACATGAGTATGCACTCCTTAAAGTAAGCTCCCGAGTTGTGCATCCATGGTCCGTGGCCTCCTTACCAGAAGACACTGGGGCTGCAGTCTCGTGAAGGGGGCGGGCACAGAGGGGTTTTGGGTTGAAGGTTTTAGAGCTTGGGAGCTTCCACGAACTCGCTCCAAAGCCTTCATAGAACCCAAGGACACGTCTACGACAGAACCCTGCAAGGTGGTAAGGGGCCAGATGTTTCACGGACTCTGAACCCTGAACCCTAAACACATGGAAGGTAGTGCCTTCTCGGCTGTCGAGGAGCTTCGGGCGGCCACGCGCGGGCAGGAGATGCCGGTGACCGACTCCCCAGACACGCTAGGCGCCCAAAAGCCCGAAGTTGCTTGTTTTTTTTGGGGTTGGGTTCAGGGTTTGTATGGTGTTTAGGGTTTTAGAGGGTTTTTTGGGGTGTTTAGAGTTTGTAGGGTGTTTTAGGGCCTATAGGGTTCTTTCAGGGTTCTTGGGATTCTAGGGCTTGTAGGGTTTATAGGGTTCACAGGGTTTAGGGCATCATCCCGGTTTTGGGTGAGCCCTTGGTGAGTGTTACCCCTAGATGAGGTATCTCTTATCTCAGGACATCAAGCTACTGTAGGTAGGATCATATATAGGAGATTTTTTATGGCCCTAAACACTACTCAAAGGACTAAAGGAGGGACCCTTCTGAGGGACCTTGGGGGTTATTTAGGGGTTCTTTGGGGGGCTACTTTCTATATATATATATATATATATATCGGGATCTAGGGGAATAAGATTAAGGGTCCCTTCTAGGGGTCCCTCCCTTAGTAAACCCTCAACCTGAAACCCTAAACCGGGGGTTTTAAGGGCCATGCTTGGCCTCAAAAACCAACCGGCAGGCTACGTCAACACCTGCCTGGCTGCCGGCCTCGCTACCGTCTGCGCTGCCCTCGCCGGCTCGGGCCCGCCGGCAGATCGGCTCTCTGGCAGCAGGGCCTCGGCAGTGGACTGCTAAGCCCTAAGCACTAAATGGGTTTAGGGTTTAGGGTAGAAATCCTAAACAGGCTTAGGGCTTAGGGTAGAAACCTTAAACAGGTTTAGGGTTTAGGGTCTATATAAGCCCAATATCCTAAGCAGGCCCCATATCCCTTGACCCCTAAACTGGAAAACCCCTGAACTTTAAACCTCAGAGTATCGAGGAGGTTGATGTAAATCGGGCCCGCTGTGGTATAGAGCAACCGGTGTCCTAAAACCAGGAAATTGAACCCAATAGTTACGGTATTTTCTTTGTTTTATGGGCATGGCTTACTCGATATGGAGGTTTCCGTAACTAGGGGTACCTCATTGAGGTCCTTATCTTAGAAGGGAATCCTGCTATTCGGGGATCTATATTGGGGTTCCCTATTGTCGTAGACTCCCATATCTTAGTCCAGGTATTCTACACCTTGGGATGTTCCCCCTTCTACGAGCAGTCCTCAATAGGGATGCTAGTACCCCCTTATGGTAGTCCCCATTAAGGACTGTTAGTATAAGGGGGAACATCCCAGTCTACACCTTAAAACACTCCAAAGGTTGTACCCTAAACC